AAAATTAAAATAAGCATGTAACGACCACAAACGGAGGAAAATAGTGGAGTAAAAGTACCGATACATCACTTAAAATGTACTCAAGTAAAAGTACAATTACTGATAAAAACTACTTAATTACGGTAACGTGAGTATTTGTAATTCGTTACTTCACACCCCTGTTGATTATTTATCACTCAAATCCCTTTCTCTACCTGTTCGTCGGTCTCACATATCCACCATGTTTGTAGTTTTTTAAACACTTTTCATGCGTGTTTGTAGTTCTAATCGAATCCTTGTCCACCGCACAATGTGTTGTGGGCAATATTAGCCGTTAAGAGTATGCACGGATCTGCACTTCGAATTTCTACCGGAAGCAGTAAACCATCCAGGTACCTTTGGAATACTCATTTCAACATACTACGATTTGGGACATACTAATTCTAAATTCGATTACTATTTAGGACGGATAGTATGCGAATTGGGACACAGCAACAGTATGTTCTTATTTGCTTGCTAATCGTGTGTCTTGTTACCATGGTGATCCTCATGTTATACATGCATCAAAGGATTTTTATAATCAGATTAGTGCTGAGGCTCACAGAAGATGGTTCTGTTAACCATCTCTTTGTCACACCGGATGAAATACACAGAAGAAATGTAGCTGCCCAGATCAACAGGGACACATGACAACACCCTAGGTGGCTGTTTTGTTTTGTCTGGAATTTGTGGATCATTCACTCACCTGCTGTTATAGGGGCTTGTGGTTTTACCTTAATTTCATTCTTATTTTTATTTTATTTAAAAAAAATTATTGTTTATTATTTTTACTTTTTTGTTTATTTTTTGTAACTTTTTTTAACAATTGATATTTTTACTCTATTTTAAATTGTTGCTTATTTTTATTTTATTTTATCTGCTTACGTTATATATTTGCATTATATATTTGCATTTATATTTTATAATTTTATAGTTTCCTGTATTTATTTATACTTTTACTTTGCTTTTTTCATTATTTTTTTTGCTTATTGTATTTTTAGTTTTTTATATTTTAGTTATTTTTCATTTTTTAAGTTTTGCTTATTTTATTTTATTATTTATGTTCATCCTATTTTTCGTTTTTTAAATAGTTGTTCTTTGTACTTATTATTTATTTATGCTTATTTTTTATTTTATTACATTTTAATTTTGGCCATGGTTATGAATAAAATCACTTTAGGTGATTGTGAACCAGGCTCAAACTTGCATCACCCACATGAGCACCACGGCTCAGTGTGTCAGAGCATGTGCATTAACCACTGGGCCACACTTCAAAATTGTATCAATGTATAGGTTTACAATGACCTGCATGAACTGCTCTTTATTCCTTGTTGCAAACTCTTGCTCAAGACATTAGAGAGAGCAATCTGTATGATGCTGAGTCTTGGCTGCGCCTCCCCACCTTGCCAATGTCATCCTGCTCCATGTGGCTCAGAGTCCATTCTCACTGAAGTAGTTGATGTGTCTATTTGTGTGGGTGTGAATATGTATGTTCTATGCTTTAAGCATGCCATTTGTTTTTATGTTTACAAGATTATGCATAATCTTATATGGAAAATTACTGTGGGTGAGAGCATGTGGGTCTCTCTCTCTCTCTCTCTCTCTCTCTCTCTCTCTCTCTCTCTCTCTGTGTTTCAGTTTCATTGCACTGCATTGGAATTACACCTAATTGTACATTCATATTGTTTGTTGCTGCTGAGCTGCATATATAGAGAGCATCAGCCTGGGTTCCAGAAGTAAAAATCCCATTAATTTTCTCCTTAGAGGAACTGATTTTTAACGATAACTTATAAGCTTTTCAAGACAGATCTGCTATGAGCTATGAGTTATGAGGTTATTAATCAATTTTATATAGTTTTGTTGTAGCCATCAGCCCACAATAATTTTTTCTTATTTTCCACATAATCTTGTTTACCAGCAGAATTCCTCTTGAAATCTACATTATCCATGATTCTGCAAAGAAATGAACAAATTGCCCCAAAAGATCTCTTTAATGCTTGATCACTCCCATGATTCAACGCAAATGACATGGTCCGCTCCCTACACTCTATATCTACTTAGATATTTGTGTATACACATACACTCTCTCACACACACACACACACACACACA